CTGTGCTCTGCCAGATAGATAACAGAAGATCTGATCCTTGCTCTAAGACATACTTTTAAACCCTTTCTTTTCTTCTCTGAAAGCATAGCTTTAGTAATCTGTATCACTCTCAATGACAATTAGTTGTGAAACATCTATGTTGTTCATAAACACTTGACTTGTTAGCTATGTTTAAAATAAACTTCAATGATGTGTGACTAAGGAAATCTGGAGGCTACTAAATGGCAGGAGAAGATTAGAAATTGGGAAAATGGGGAAATTGTTTTTATTTATTTTTCTTATTTTTAAAATGTCAGCAATTACTTGGAGTTAGGGAGTACAGCATGTGTTATCTGCCCTTCACGTAAGTTTAAATTTTTCAGATGGGGGGGAAACAACAACAAAGAACATACGCTTGATGGGTATGATGTTGTACAGGGAAATAACAACAATAATTTCAAATGGATATAACACGAGTATAAAATGTTACATGAGAAGAAATTATTAGAGCTTAAAACCAAGAGGGAAGAATGATCATGAGAGAAATAACACTCATTTAATGAGCTCTAGCATATTGTTCTCTGTTGTAAAGACAGATATCCTGCTAAATAAGTAGAATATTAGCATACCTTTTAAAAAGGTACTTGGAACACTTGCCTTGATAGAACTTTATCTAAAGCACTGGATAATTTGAAGTGTAAATCCTAGACAGCTTAATAAAGAAAAATTGAAATGAACATGTTCAGGTGTTCTCACTTTTTTCGGAAAGTAGTATGACACTTAAAAATATTTTGGGTTTTTTATAGATAAAGGTGTTAATGGTGTATTACAGTTCCAGAATATCTACATTAGGTTATTTTTATGAAAACACATTGCTGATAGGGAGATAGTGGGAGAGAAACAGCACCAGTTTCTAAAAAAAAAAAAAAAAATAAAAAATCACAACCCTCCCAAAAAAAGCCCAAACAAAACAGACCAAACCCATATACTTCAAAATAATACCCTACATCTAAAAATCACCATTGAGTGATAGAAGCTTAACTTCAGATTTTTTTTTTTATAGTGAATTGATGGATACTCTAGAATTATTCCTTGTGATAAAATTATAAATGAAGAACTGATAACAAATCTTGTCTGTGTAAAATTTAGCAGTGAGACCTTGGACTCTAAAACTAAGTGCGTCTTAATTTTTAACAGCTTGTGCTATTTAAGTTTTACTGAAAATGGCAATAGCAGATTTCCAGTGATTTAATTCCCTCTCAGCACTCTTTAAAAGTTTGGGGGGGGTGGGGAGGAGCGCCAATTGCCGCTTTTCTTTCTTTTTCAGCTAGCACGACTTGAGCAAAAATAGCTAATCATTATACTTATTTTCATAAATAAGGCTTAGGGTTTTTTCCCTTAGGTTCTTACCAGCTAGCTGAGGCTTTTAGACATAGCCAAATTCAATATTTTTTTCCCAAGTTGTTTTTCAAAAGTTTGTTTCAAAGAGCTGCATTTAATAAGTAACTGGAAAATGAGTTTCTTCAAATACTTGCAGATTTGAGATGTGTCCCTTTCAGTTCATGCATGGCTAAAAACAACAAAAAGCTTAAGTTGTCTTTCCTACTAAATGAAACTTTCTGCAAGTGTGTGTGGTATGTATGGTGTAGGAATCTTCTGATGATAGTTGCATATCTAGTGCTCCCTAGAAGAAATTGATATTAAAAATTAGCAATTTCTCATACAGAATTTGAGTAAAGGACCCTTTACTCTCTTTTATCTTTTTTTTTTTTTTTTTTTTTTTGTAACATAAATGACTGAGTCATGGTATCCTACAAGTAACTAAAAATGAGGATTTCGGTAAGATAACAGGACAAACTGCTCAACATTTTTGTGTGAAGCAGTTAATACTGCCAAAATGCAAAAAATAAGTACATAAAATGCCATATTCAGAAGAGGGAAGAAGTTTCACCAAATCAGTTTTTTCCAGTCCTCTTATTTCATTGACATTCTCTCACTGAATTCAAAGGACTGTAGCATTTAGCAGGTTGTATGTTTTTTTTTTTTTTTTTCTCTTCCCACCTAAACAGAAGTGCAGAAACATGTAGCGACTGATTTGATCTGTTAATTTTGATTTACCGTTAGAATTTGAAGGCCTGTAGCACCAGAGGACTCTTTTCACCAGTTTTTCACCATCGTTGACCTTGCATTCCTTTCTATGAGGTGTATGGACTAGGGTCTAATCCCTCCTGTTACTACTGTTCTATAAATCCTCTTCTGAAGATGCCTAAATATGCTGTATCAGTATAGGGTTATGCCAAGTTGGATGACTTAGGCTGTTAAAATAGCCTTCGCAGCTAAACTTCTGAAAAATCTGACTGTAGACGTGTAAGGTTCCCCCACCTCCCTCATTATGAACTTGAGTTAAAAGTAATCATTTCCTGTTCCACTGTCCTTGGGTGGCTTTGTTTAAAATACCATTCTTGCTTTGTATGCTGTTTCTTTGAAATTTACTTACAGTGGGTATACACTGATTATCCTGGACTATAATTGAGAGCTTAAGAATTGTCATCAGAGGAAACATTCCTTGTGAAGTTTCAGATAAGTGTCTTCAGACAATTCTAAAATGAAGATATAAAATCTTTTTAAACCATGTTCAATAGTGTTATTTTTTTTTTACTTTGAATGCATATGTGCTAACCACTCTTAACTATTCAGAAATGTTGCGACTAAGACAACTGACATATGTATAGGTGGCTATGAAAACTTTTTTTTTACTTGCAGGGACTCTCTAGTAGTGAGCTAAATCTCTAATTTCATTAGGTATTAAAGTATCTGTACTGGTTTTCAACTAGTGCTTTTATTAAAAAAAAACCAAAACAAAACACAAAAACAAACTAGCCTTTTATTAAGGTTACTGGTATTATTAAAGTATAGTGGCAAATGTCCCTAAAATTTGAAATGTTTCAAGAAGTCCATTAGTCACATGCTTGGGGGAGGTAGCCCCTTTGTGTACTTAACAATACTTCATTTTATTATAGGGTATATACTTAAGCTAATAATTTGTAGTTTGCAATGTAGAACTTGCTGCAAAGTTTTAATATTAAGGTTTGAATGTCTAGTTTTAGAAGTATAAATAGAATAGCATATTGTCTTTATCTCCAAAGGCATTATATTGTACTTCTAGCAAGCGCACCGACAGAAAAACAGCGACTAGAATGGTGAGTATAATGCTTGCTATTTAAAAGAAAAAGAAAACCCACCAAACACAAAACCAAACAAAAATTTGTCAACCTTGGACGCAAGGGAATATCTAGTGTATCTAGTACCTTTTTAATGAAACCAGGTGGAGCTTCAGTGTTTCCAAATTAAATGGATGAAGATGGTTCTGAAAAACTGTAAAAATGAAGAATCAGGGAGCGAAGGCTGTTGCTTGAATTTTGCTTCTTAACAGCACAGTCAGGTTCACTTTATAAATCTTACTTTCTTAAGCCTTACATACTTTTTTTAATAAGCAGT